TCATGGAGCCATCGGCATGATCTGTCCGTCATTTTCATTCCACTGGCTGGGACGGATACCAACCACGGGCAACGGGTGATGCTGCGGAAACACACGGCTGCTGTATGACAGGAGAAAAGTTAGGCTTTCACTGATGGTGAATCATACTAGCCTCCGAGAATGAAGAACTATGGAATATAAATTCCAGAGAATTTCCCACCTCTGTTGTCTTTATTCCTTCATTCATCAAGAACAACACATCAAAAAGCTGAATCTTCTCTTTTACCTACCACAGAGGAAACACAAAGCAGTGTTAAATATGCGTTTTACACAGATTGTGGCAGCCGCTCTCTGCCTGGGTGCCACCGAGGCAGCGGTAGCTCCTATCGACAGAGCCCGCAAAGTTCTAGGAAATCAGCATGCGTTTGACAAACGTGATGCTTCCGGTGATACCGCAAAGGCCCCCAAACACTTGACTAGCAAGAACAAGAGTAAAATCTTTCCTTTCTATATACATCTTCTTCAATTGGTCTAACGTTAGTTTCTTGGATAGAGTTCTATGTTGACCCAACCAGCATCCCGGGTGTTCCTTTCGATATTGGAGAGTCGTATGCTGGAAATCTTGCCAACACTCCAGCTGGAAACTCTAGTTTGTTTTTCTGGTATTTCCCATCAGAGAACCCGGAAGCCAAAAACGAAATCACCATATGGCTCAACGGTGGCCCCGGATGTAGCTCCATGATTGGTCTTCTTCAAGAGAATGGACCGTTCTTGTGGCAGCCGGGCACTGATGGCCCAGTCAAGAACCCATATGCTTGGTCCAAACTCACTAATATGGTCTGGGTTGACCAACCAGCGGGAACTGGCTTCTCCCCTGGCCCACCCACTGTGAAGGATGAGATCGATGTTGCAAACCAGTTCAGCGACTTCTGGAAGAATTTCATGGACACCTTTGACCTCCATCACAGTGATGTCTACCTTGCTGGAGAGAGTTACGCTGGTCAATATATCCCCTACATTGCCAGCGGGATGCTAGACAGGAAGGATTCTGAATACTTTAATGTCCAGGGTATTACAATCATTGACCCATCCATTGGTGCTACCGAAGTGATCATTGATGGTAAGTCAGGTATCATCTTATTTAAAAAGTTAGAGTTTATGCTAATATGCTCCCCTAGCCCCATCTGTTCCTGCATTGCACCGCTTCAACAACATTATCGACCTAAATGAGACCTTCGTTAACGACATCACCAAAAAATGGGAGAGTTGTGGATACAAGAAGTTCATGGATGATGCTTTGAAGTTCCCTCCAGCTGGCCCCATGACTGTCCCTGGAAAGTCTGCCGGATGTGATGTTTGGGACGAGATTATCGCTGCTGTCAAGGAGGTCAACCCATGCTTCAACATCTATCACCTCAGGGACAACTGCCCAAGCCCATCTAACGTCATGAACGGACCAAAGAACTTCTTCAACAACAAGCAAATCCAGGAAGCTATCCATGCCCACCCAACCGATTACCGCCTTTGTGGTGAATCCCAGATCTTCGGTCCTCACCGCAATGACCGCTCTGTCCCCAGCTCGTATGGCCCACTTGCCAGTGTCATTGAGAGAACAAACAACACCATTATTGCACACGGTGACCTTGATTTCCTCCTCTTCACCGAAGGCAGCTTGGCCTCCATCCAAAACATGACTTGGGGTGGTCTCCAGGGCTTCCAGAAGGAACCATCTGACAAATTCTATGTTCCATACAAGGATGGATCTGAAGTCGGCGGAGCTGGATTCGTTGGCAAGACCCATCGTGAGCGTGGCCTCACTTGGGTTACTGTTGACCTTGCTGGACACGGTAAGTTGGAATATTTCAATTTGGTGCCTGGAAGGTCGCTAACATATATATCTAGAAATCCCACAGTATGCTCCTACTGCTGCATACCGTATGCTCGAGTACATGCTTGGAAGAGTCCAGAGCCTGACTGAAACCCACTAAGATGATTATCCAAATTTCCTGTTGTATATAGTTTAGATTGGGGGACGGGAATCCCTGGTTAATGCATAGATGTATTGGTAGTCATTCGTTTAAAATATAAAAGTTGGTTTATTTAAGAAACTCTTCAAATATTTCACCTCAAGTGACACTACGCACGAGGCTTTGCTAATATGAACAGTCTAAATTAAAACTGAAGAGTCAGATCTGTGGCCAAATAGGAGGGGCTGTAAAGATCAAGCAATCTTAATACAATTATTAAAGTCGTAAGTAATGGCTGAAAGCAGCAATGTACATAGTACACCCCGAAAGGCTAGCTTAAATTAAAAATTTGGTAGCTTGCAAAATCGAATAGGAAAGCACAAAAAGAATGCTATCTGTATAACGTGCAATTCTGATAGACGCCTTTTGCTGCAGAGGGTTAAAATCGGGGGATAAGCAATGCCCTGAATCATCAGGCAAAGCTGGGAGGGAAAAAAAAAATTCCTCATAGCGTCACTTCTTCCATTTCTGCTTCTTCAGAATTGGCTCCTTTAGTGGCTTTTCCACCTCCTGATTCTTTAATGATCTCTGCTTCCGGGTCTGGTGACTGATGTTCAGTGTCGTCTTCCGCATCATCTGATTTAGAGTGGGATGCTGGAGCCTTCTCATCTAGTTGCCCATTGGTTGGTATTTTATCATCCTCATCATTTGTTGCAGCATCATTGTCAGGTGCGGTGTGACTATCCCCCCCCATTTCCTGATCGTTTCCACTGTCCTCCTCTTCATTTTCATTCTTAGGTACTGGGGGGCTAGGGAGGTCTTTTGAGGACCCATTATCATCCTTTGGCGGTGGTAGAGGTGGTGAGCCTCCTTCAGGTCTTAAGCCATTAGGAACTTCACTCCTTGGACCGCCAGGGAATGGTGTAACGGGAGGGACTTGGTTATTCTCAGGAGATGATCGTGAGGTAGCCGTACTATTTTGTCGTCCGTGTGTTGGTAAGCTCAAAATCGAGTTTTTCTTATTCTGCTGTGCGCCGACTCCAGGGCCAATCTGCCGTAGTTTCGGATCGGCATTCAGATAGTAACCTCGCACGCTTACAATAGTGCCTTCACGCTCACACCCTTCTACCCATTCTGGTCGGACGACAGGTATATTCATCTCAACAGCCTTTTCCCAGGCAGGACCTCTACCCTCCGTACAGACGAAGTGTGTCGTATCAATACGAACCGTATCAATAAGCTTCCCTCCAATTCTATCCACTGCATGCGCCAGCGACTCTCTTAAATTGTCAGGGAGAATTCCAGCAGTAACCGTAATTCCGGATAAATCTGTCATTTTGTGGGTTCGACAAACTAGTTTTTCAGAACTAAACATACCGGCGGAGGTACGAAGGATGAGTTGGAAAGTATATTCTGTATCAATCGCAAGGCCGCTTATTTTCGTGCTGAGCATGTCGAGCGGTCGTGGAATCGACCCTGCTTTCGAGCCATTGCGATATAGAGATAAGGATTTAAGCGAGGCGGTGGCTAGCTGTATTGGATCCCATTCCAAAACCAAGGAGGTCTGTGTTGCATTCTTCAGTCGTAAAACAGGGGGAGAGGGTGTGTTGATTCCATAGGTATTAAGGATCTTGTCCTGTAGAGCTTTGGATGCAGCTTGATCCGCAGCCTCGGCCGCTTCGTTTGGGGAGACAGTGATATCGACTATACTTCCAGATGTGATATTTCTCGGCAGAAGGACGGACGGGAACTCGATCTGAGGGAAAATCAAATTTAGTGGCTTAGTGAGAAATGGCTGTGGATGGGTACGGACTCATTAACGACACAGTGTGGGGGATTGTATTGCAAGCCTACCAGTCGATTATCTTCCGTGAGAAGGACTGCAACGCCGGCATCGACCTTCCCAACGGTTAGGGAGACCAACATCGTCTACCACCTCCTCGATCTTTCGACCGAGCAGTAGAACGGAGAATAGTATCAATACGCCACAAGCGACCAAATCACACAATCTGACGTATACCTGGGGTATCTCTCTGTCGCCTCTGCAGCAAACAAGAGCAGTGACAGCATTTGTGTTCTGATGCCCTGAGATGAGCTTCATCATCGCCTGGTATCAGCGACTATTACATAATCTGATACGACGAGACCAAACGTGGCGATGCTCATTGCCGTTTTAGCACACGTCAATTGCTGCTTTAGTGACTAGTGCCGTCACCATTACGTAATCCTAGAGCGTCAAAGCTTCCTGAGCCGCATTTTGATAACTTCAGTCGACACCTCGACGTATCAAGGGACTGCCTCGCAGGCACAGCGGTAGATAGGGGCCTAGCACAACACTTTCACGTTTCAATTACCTCCATCCTTCTTTAGCCGCCTCATGCATATATTCACTTTACCAGTTAACTAGTGAATCACGTGTTTTCCTGTCACTTTCGTGTCCGCCTCATCGAGTAGACATCAACGGCTCTCGTATGATGTCGTCTGGACTGCCGGCTTCGCTAATCAAGCTGTCTCTACCTCTGGTATGGGCCCAAACCGAGATTATGAAAGATATATTTCATTACCTGACCTCTATTGTAGCAATATCAGCAAAATTTGTTAAATGAATTGAGATCTGAAGATGAACTGGTGATATTAGCCCAGGGTCTAGGTCTGCTTAAAATAATAACCAACTTGCTTCACACTTACGATGCGGCTGGGAATAATCTGATCATATTAGTTGGGGCTACTGATCGTGAGAATGAATGGATTGGTGAAGGTTGGTTTGATTTTGGGAACTAGTATAGCAAGTCTATCTTTGGTACATCGATGCTAACTGGAGATAGCACTGGCGGAACATTATGCCGTCAGTAAATCACCTTTAGCCAGAGGACTCAAGGTCATTAACACTGATCGAGCTACTGTTTCCACGAGGTATTGCTCATTTTTATCAAACTTATGCTGGCCTCTTTAAACTAATACACTGAAGGCATAAAATGTACTCGGAGGGAGGCATCATCAGCGTGACCTCTCGGATTCTGGTTGTGGATTTACTTTCCCGTACGTTAATATGTCATGACTCTTATACCTACTAGGCCCTCTCTTAACAGTGGCGCTATAGGACTCCTTGACCCAAAACTCATCACTGGCATGATCATTCTTCATGCTGAAAAGTAAGCATGATACCTAGAACCGTGAGCGTTCTATCTTTGCTAAAAACTACTGGATAGAGTGGTAGCCACTTCGCTCGAAGCATTTATCATCCGAATATATAGGCAGTACAACAAGGATGGAATGCTCAAAGCGTTCTCGGACACCCCAGAGCCTTTCACCACTGGATTTGCACCATTATCAAATATGCTGCGGAACCTATTTCTCCAAAAGACATCCCTGTGGCCAAGGTTTCAGGTTACTGTTGCAGAGTCCCTGGAAGGCCATAGGAAAGCTGAGGTGATTGAACTCGAGGTCCCAATGACTGATAAAATGAAAGAAATACAAAACGCAGTATTAGAATGCGTGGAAGTTAATATAAGAGAACTCAAAAGATCTAATACAGGCCTCGATGTCGGGGACGATTGGACGGTGGATAGCGCACTTCATAAAAATTTTGATGTCGCCATTCGCCGACAGCTGGATCCGGTATGGCATCGTGTCTCTTTTAGAACACGACAGATTGCCAGCGACTTAACAGTTCTTCGGTCTATCCTCCAGTAAGATTACTCACAATAACCTCCCAAGCTATCCCGATAATTCAATCTAACAAGTATGCTAAGTTCTCTACTGACATTCGACGCTGTTTCGTTGAATAAATATCTTGACACTGTCATAAGTGCCCATTCGGCTCCTGCAGGGTCTACAAAACAAAATTACTCGCCTTGGCTATTCCTTGGGGCAGCACATGTACTTTTTGATACTGCTAAGTCACGAGTATACAAAAAGAAGGCCTCAGAGAAGACCACATCATCTTCCTCCGATATCTTCAATGGTATTGAACCCATCTTGGAAGAGCAACCTAAGTGGGCTGTTCTTGCGGAAGTGTTGCAAGAAATCGAGCAGGACACATACTTAAATCCCGCAGCTCCGGGTTCCTCCAACAATGCCATCCTTATCATGTGTAGTGATCAACAAACCTGCCGACAAGTTCGTGAATACCTTTCCACCATGCATAAAAAGGAGAAATTTTTTGATAAAAATGAAGATGATGAGGCCGAGATTATACCCCACGAAGATGAACATCATCCATCTGCAGATACTATGATGCGAAGGAAACTCCGAGAATATCTATACTGGAAAAGAAATCTCTCGAATGTGAACAACCATTTATATGATGTAAAGCCAAAAACGAAAGGCATTGCTGAGGTACCGGGTTTTACGTCTATCAGCAGCGTCGCTCCTCAAGGTCATTCTGGGAGAGCGCCCCCGAATAAAAGACGACGAGTGCGTGGCGGTAGTTCCACTGCTAGCTCTTCTGGAGCTGGAAGACCAGCTCATGGGAGCGTTCAGGTAGACACTGAGGATTTTCCTGAGGTATCAAATCTTTCAGAGGAGGTTATACAGCAAGCAATATTGGAAGAAGTTCAACACATCACCCTGGAAGATGATCTTCAAGATATGGATAACTACTATGAGCTTTATGATGTGAACGACTTGCTAGTTGTTCACCACTACGATGGAGATATGGATGAACATGTCCTCGAGGAACTAAGGCCCAGATACATCATAATGTATGAGCCTGATGCAGCATTCATTAGGCGGGTGGAGGTATATCGCAGTTCCCATCAAGAGAGAAATGTGCGGGTATACTTCATGTATTATGGTGAGTCAGTGGAAGAGCAGCGATATTTGAGTGCCGTTCGCCGCGAGAAGGATGCTTTTACGAAGCTGATTCATGAAAGGGGGGTAAGTACAGACTATAAACATCATTGCTTCCATGCTCTTCGCTAACGATTTGTGTACCGTAGACGATGGCCATGCAGTTAGTCCACGATAAGAGCCATGAAGATCCCCAAGAGCAATTCTTACGGACTGTGAACACCCGAATTGCTGGTGGTGGCCGACTTGCGGGCACGGCGGCACCTCCAACTGTGGTTGTAGATGTCCGAGAATTTCGAAGTGCTCTTCCATCACTACTCCATGGCCGTAGCATGGTTGTGGTCCCATGCCAACTAACAGTGGGCGACTACATCATCACCCCGGACATCTGTGTCGAGCGCAAGTCTGTACGGGATTTGATCAGTTCCCTAAAAAACGGACGGTTGTACACACAAGCGGAAACAATGCTTCAGCACTACTCCCAACCGATGCTCCTAATCGAGTTTGATCAAAACAAGGCGTTCACTTTCGATGCATTTACCTCTTCTGCTACTCCAACGTCCTACGTAGCTGATAATGCCACTAGCTTTGGCTCCGGCAACATGATTAACCCAGCAAACCCTAAATCAGCACAACATCTACTAGTATTACTTACTCTCGCATTTCCTCGGTTGAAGATAATTTGGTCGTCCTCACCCTACCAGACGGCAGAAATATTTGCAGAGTTGAAGAAGAATAACCCAGAGCCTGATCCTATAAAGGCGGTTCAGGTCGGACTCAATTTCAATATATCTGGCTTAGATACGTCCGATGGTCAACCTGCGGATATGATGCCTGCTTCCGGGATAGAGCATCGAGTGTTCTCCCTCCTACCCCAAGACATGATCCGAGCCGTTCCAGGGGTAGAACCAAAGGTTCTCGAGCGTCTTATTCTAGAGACGAAGAACATCCATGAGGTGGCCAACATGAAAATTGAGCAACTTGAACCGCTGGTGGGAAAAGAAGCAGCAAGAAAGATATTCAAATTCTTTACTCGGAGCGTATTCGATTCCGAGACGGTGTATGAATCATAGGGAGATAAATAATTATATTAAACCCAATTTTATTGGCTAACTCAACATCAACTAATCACTTTCATCATTCTATGCGTTCAGTTTCCATCGCGAAGCATGACCGAATGGGAAGATCCAAATGAAAAACGGAAGGGTAGCAAAGTCAACGAAAAGCGAGGCGATGCTGAGAATAAAAAGAGCACAAAATAAGAAAAGGGCCATAGCCATTTGGCATCACTCTTCAGCATTCCAGAGGAGATGGTATAACAAGAAGCGAGATGCATCATGGCTAAGGAAGACGTAAAAATAAGGAAAAGGAAAATCGTTGCTGAAAACCGTCGGGTCAAGTTACGTGAACACGCGCCGGTCGACTGTTTTAACGTGATTGCGGCCCTTTTCCGTACGAACGAACCATGAATGTGGCTAATAGCAACATTCGTTAGCCTCCAGATAGCGTGTGCATACCAGGGGCTATGCATCGTCGGCGAGGTAAGTTCGGTCAGGTAATTGATATCCTTTCTCGATGGGAAAGCACTTCTAGGATCAAATGAGAGCCTTCATCAATCCGGTCTAGTTATATTGACAAGCCGCTGGAAAGAAAACCAAACGTCCTTAAGTTTCTTAATAGACAGTGGCGATCGGATAGATGCTGTTGGTTGAACAGTAGAAGCAATCCATCGAGCCGGGACGTGCCGCTTTTGGAGGGATGATGGGTTCAGATCTCGTCGACGTCGATGTCCTTTTCATCACTGCTATCACGATCCTCGTCGAACTCGACGTTGTCTTCAATACCCTCATGACCATAGCTACAGTAACGTTAGAAATACCCATATCCTCATGAACAACCACGTAACGGGAGGAAACATACGTATCAGTCTCGTTGATCTTGGCACTCTCTGGGAGCTCGCCATAGGCCTTCAAACTTCTGGCCTCGTCGGCGTTGTACTTGAGAATGACATCTCCCTTTTCGTCTTGGTAATCGCGGAGCGAGAGAAGGATGATGTCTCCTTGGTTGATCCAGACCTTCTTGCGAAGCTTTCCACGGATATGAGCCAGGCGTTTCTCCCCGTCGAAACAGAGAGCCTCTAATCGACCGTTACCCAACATCTTGACTACCTGGGCGTATTCTTGTCCCTCCTCCTTGAAGGTCAGCTCGCGCTTCTCATTGTCGTTTTCGTTCTTTCCACGACGTCTGTTTTTACCACCCTATTGAGTAGTTAGTATCAACATATCGAAAGTGAAAAGCACCGTATCGAGATAGATCATAGCTATATTCTTTCAGGCCGCCATCCACCTGGACATGGATAGGCCTCGTGCTTATCGTGGGCGGGTTCTGCGGGGTTAAAGAGTCACGATAAAGAGTAAGTCATACCTTTCCCTTATTCTTCGGCATTCTGACAGAGTCTCACTGGCTGTAGAGTACGGGTATAATAATTTGATAGACACTTTTTTTAGCAAGGCAAAAACGAGTTCGCGTTGAACAGGGGCGTCACAAGCGTCTGGATGAGGTTGGGTTGAGGGAGATGAATCGGTTTTATGGCTTTTTTTCTGACTTTTTTTTTAGTGGGGGAGGACGAGTTCGCCACGTGAGTTTTGCCCCTGCTGACTCAGCTTAGGCATGGCATACAAAAGTTTTTATAGAACGAGTAAAAAGACGGCGAGGCGGAAGAAGAAGAGGCGGAAGACGAGGCAGAAGAAGCAAGGAGGAGGAGTGGGAAAAGAAAGCACGGTGGAAAGCAGTGAATAGTCGAGATAAGCGACCCGGGAAAGCCAGGCCGGAAATGCGCCTTGTCTGCCGAGTGTCCAACGAGTCCTACAAGGCGCCCTACAGTGAAACCCGTTACTGAACACACCTGGAGACTGCCTGGAAATGAACTACATCGCTACTCATGAGTGAGCACTCGATCTCAATATTGTAACAACAGTGAAATTAAGCCAGACAGACATTGATAGGCAGCCCTGTGATAGCATGACGGAGAAACATTAATCCATTTTGATGTTTAGGTTGAGAGTTGGAATGAAATTTCATCCCCGAGTTCAGGTCTTAAACCTATCAACAAGCGATTGCGACACGGTCCAGCTTCTCCGGCAGCATGAACAAGGCAAGGAACCTCAAGCCTTTCGAGTGGAACCTGGGCTTGAAGAAGCTAAACATCAAAGCCCGCTGTTTCGCAGTCAAATACGCAGCCGGCAACATCGAGTCCCCGTTCACCAAGAGATGCAGATTGACAAAGCCTATTCTCAGCCCAATGTTCGACTATAAGCTCAAACAGAGAGAGAAAGACATTATATGGAAATCCGTCTCCCTCGGTAGCCCGGCTGACACCCCAGCAGTTGGCCGTTCCTTGTACGCTCGAATGTTTCGGTCTGCCTACTATGAAGCCCTGCAGAAGCATGGATACGACGAGGACGGCAGAAGGCTCGTCCTCGATGCAGAAGGGAATGTTGTGGGGAAACGGAAACCGGGTCTGTCATGTACGATTCAAGTGATCTTGAATACACCGATAAAGACGGTCAAACAAGAGGATCTTGTGATAGAGGCAGAGCGGCTGGTCCAGGAGCTCGAGAGACTGCAAGGGAAGCCATGTGCAGCTGGAAACGCAAACAACAGACAAAAGTCCCGGAAGGCACAGAAGTCGACGGGATAGTTTACGTTTTCTTGCGGGAGAATATGACGAATTTCCCCTGCATCGAATTGATTAACGGGAATAAGGTGCTTCTCACACTGGATGCTGCAGACCAACATTACGAGAGCCTTTCCGTCCACAAAACTGATGGGTTCAGCCTGGAAATTCCCAGGCGTTTCACTGAACACATAAGGGCATGGAAAGGCAGTGTCTTAACTATTCGGCTTCGGGGCCCCGATACTCTGTGCCAACTGGCTCCCACCGCGGCCGAAGTACAACACCAACCCAAACAAAACAGGCACCGTCGACAACGCTGATCGATCTGCGTGGGTGCGGTGAATCTACCCTGTCATGCTGAGAATGCTGAAGGGGCTATTATATACGGGCGTTTATGCCCATGTCCACTATGTACTCTTGTGCCTAACTCTTGCGCATATGCTGGGTGAGTACTTGCTACCTCCAAAAGACAAGATATCGAAGTAGACAACTGTGCCAATGATATCTCCTGCCAACCGCCTCAAGTAGAAAACACTGTGACCCCCGCTGCTCCGCCATTAAAATACGTAAATAAATAGCTAGTCATAGATATAGATCAGTAACGCGCGGTACAGTCACTGCGTAATCGCCCAACGTCGGCGGAGGCTTGGCGTCTCTAAGCCTCTTGTTGAAGGCAAACACCAACAACTCCTCGAGGATGGACACTTTCAGCCCGAACAACCGACGAACAAGCAACAACTACAGGCCCTGACGCTGCGCAGTCCACGAGCCTGTTTGGGGGAATACTTATTATCCACGCCTGAGGATGAGACTGGATACCTGAGCCGTCCTCACCGTTGCCAGCATTCTTCGCACACACGACCACATTAATACCGATAACTCCCTTGGGCTCCTGGGCAGTTCACCATGCCATCCATACTCTCTGATGCCGATAAAGAGACAGTCAGACGAACTGTCCCGAAGCCGTCCAGCAAGATTCTCGCTGTTGCAGTTGCCAGACTCTACGTTGCGCTGCCAAATACTCACAAGTGGATATACACTGGCCTGCAGGGCGCCGCAGTTCTCGCAAATGACCTCGTTGGGCATACATTCTGGATAAAACTGGTAGACGTCTCGGTATGAACGGATTTTTATTTTATTTGCCCTGGCTATATCGTCTGTGATACTGTGATTGCTAATTCGACCTCGTTTTCGTTGTCTATACAGCCTGCAGGCAGAGGGATTCTATGGGACCAGGAAATCTATGACGGGTTCGCATACAACCAGGACAGGACGTTCTTCCACACCTTCGAGCTCGAAGACTGCCTTGCTGGTCTCTCCTTTGCAGATGAAAAGGAGGCAAAGACATTCCTCAAGAAAGTGACGGAACGAGAAAAGAGTGCTAGCAAGGAGACCAAGGCCACACCGTTTTCGGCGGCTCGCGGGCAGACACCAACGCCGGTATCGAATGGCAAAAGCCATAGCCGTTTTGGCAGAGTGGGAAGCCTTCTACATGGCCATAGGTCCTCGTCGGCGCCAAATCCTGCGGAGTCTATTATTCCGCCGAGACAACCACCTGCCAATACCGCTCCTTCAGCACCGGTGGCCCCTATAAACAATGAGAAGACATCCTCTCCGCTTGATACAGTAGACCCATCATGGCGAGGCCTCCTTGATGAGCTAAAGGCCATGGGGATTACTGAGGAGCAGATAGCGGAGAATTCGGACTTTATCAAGGCATATATCGAGCAAAAACAGCAAGCCAACGAGCTTAACGGCTCTAGCACAGAAGCGGCCTCCCAAGATACCACAAAGAGGGCCAAGGTGCCTCCGCCTCCGCCGCCTTCGGTTCCTCCACCACATGTATCGAAATCCCAACCTATCAGCCCGCAAAATACTGGTAAACGGGGAGCACCTCCGCCTCCTCCTCCAGCCAGACGAGGCCGGCCAGATGCGCCTCCATCTCCTCCCCCTCCGCGGGAGCAGTCTCCAGCCCAATCTCCCAAACGAGAGCCATCACCTCCACGACCAAGGTTCCGGGCTCCCCCTCCAATTGCCGATGCCGGGAAATATGCCCATATTCCCGGTCCTAGTCTACCATCACGGAGCCGTGCGGCATCCGGCTCTAATTTAGCCAACCCAGGGCCACCACCTCCTCCGCGACCGCCTAAAACACCAGAAGACAACCGTGCTTCGGTCCAAACAAACCGCAAAGTATCAGCTCCTGTTCCTCCTCCGAGTCGGATGCCTGCCCCCCTTCCGCCTAGGAACGAGGCTAGCTCTATATCTCCGCCACCATTACCTCCAAAGACACCGCAAAATGCCCATATGCTACCACCACCTCCACCACCCCCTCCTCCTCCTCAGCGAAGCCCAGCTCCTCCCTCTCCACCACCACGACAGTCTCCCCCAGTATCTGCACCACCTCACCCTCCACCTCCACCACTTCCTGCTAACAATGCACCACCACCTCCGCCGCCGCCGCCGGTCCCTGCTTCAAATGCCCCAGCTCCTCCACCTCCACCGCCGCCTCTTCCACCTACATCTACCTCTTCTGCCCCAGCAGCGCCTCCCCCCCCTCCGCCGCCTCCCCCTCCTCCAGCATCAGGAGGTCCACCAGCACCTCCGCCCCCTCCAGCACCTCCTGGCGGTGCAGTACCTTCCCTACCAAAAGCACCTCCAGGGAAGGACGATCTAATGGCCTCGATCCGAGCTTCCAGTGGGCGTGGTCTACGAAAAGTAAGCGAAGCAGAGAAGCGTGATCGAAGCGCGGCCATGGTCCCCGGAAGTGCAACCGATTCATCTGCTGCTTCACCCGCTCCCGCCGGTGGCATGATGGGAGCCATCCAGGATGCTCTGGCTAAGCGAAAAAAGAAGGTCAGCGCAAGTGGTAAGTTACCTCTTCAACAATTTTATCTTTATTTAATTATTAGATAAAAGTCTGACTAGCTATAGATGACGAGAAATCCGACGATGAGTGGTGATACTACCCGGGAATCAAAATTTTGGGGGAAAAGGGGGCCCGGAGGCCGCGCTTTGCATCCAACCTTTGTACATATCAGTCAACACCTATCCATAAAAAAACTTAGTGCTCCCTACTACCATAAACTCTTCTGGCAAATGAAACATATTATATCCAATCAAACCTTTTATCTCTTTCTGTGAATCACTCTCTACGAATGATATGAGATGAAGGCCCTGAAGCCGCTGATAGGACGTTGTACCTAGGTAGGCATCTAAGGTTCAGGTAGGGAGCGGTCCACTTAAGGTTCCACCATGCCGGATTTCGGTAAAACATTAATCCGGTATATCGTCACGGCCAGTCTGCGAAAATTGAATCTTGTACAAAACTTCAAGAAGAGCGACAATGTTCGCGAGCAAGAGAAGCACATTATATCTTGCGCGTGAGCCTGCGGAACCCGGGTGATCAGGCTGAGAGATGCTTTCCTCGCCTCCTGTGAAGACAGTAGCTCCGTCCTCGAATCTTCTTCGCTATCTTCGCTGCCAATTTGACTATTCGCGTTGCCGGTCAAAGGTTTCAACTTCCTGCCGATGGAGTTCGAGTCAGGCTTGTGCGGGCGGTTTTCGGTCTTCGCTGCATTTGAACTCGCCTAAACTATCATATGGCGGCTCATCGTACGGAACAAAGTGTGGTATATCTCTGGTTAAGCTGCCCATTGTAACAGGCACTTCGATATCACGCAGACGCTCTCTTTCTGCCGGCCGATACCAGCCCTTGAGCACAAATGGCATCCGATCCTTCAGCACTACAACTGTGAGATGCAGACAC